GGGGCGGGCTTCTGGTGCGTGCAGCTGTAGCTCCTCAAGCGCCTCGGCGATCGCGTCGAGGCCGACGGAGTGGAGAGGTTGGACGATGGCGAGAGCCTACGCCAACTCTCCCTCCATCATAATGATGAAGTCCAGGTTCTCGAAGCGCACGTGTGCGCCGGGACCCAGCTGACACCGTGACTAGCCATCCGAGGCCTAATGTGGACGTCGAGATGGACAAAAAGCCCCTACCTAGCGCGCCAACTATCAATGTTTTTGGACCACCGACAAGTAAATTTGTATTTGCGCGTCTGGCTCGGATGGTGTGCTCGGAGGACACAAGGGTTTATACTGGTTCGGGTGAAACGTCCCTATGTCCAGTTCGCTGCTACTCGTGTTATCAGCACTCGGTTTACAGTAGTGGTTACAAACAAGCGAGAGAGGAAGAGGATCCCAAGTCTCTAGTGGAAGGAGTAAACGGGTGCTGAGAGCTCGATTGCCGCTCAGCCGTGTGCTCGTGTTGTGCTCTTATGTTTTTATCTCATGGTTCAACCCCCTTCATGGGGCTTCTGCTTCCCCTTTTATAGGCGAAGGGAAAGCGTGGGTTACCGCGGATGAAAAGGAGAAGAACAAGAGAGAGAAGAAAGCCTACAGGATCATCGGGTCCTTCTTCTCCTTCATGCAAGTCCCACCGATCCTGTTCTTGATGTGAATCGTCAGGTATGGTCCGTCATGGCCATGGGTTATATCAAGAAATGTCAGTCTCTTCCCTAGTGTTAGACTTTTGACCTAGGCCCATACGCTTGGACCTGGAGTGGTTGGTGGCGGTATGGGTCCCCGTCGGACGAGGCGGAACCCGCGTCCTTGGGGTTGGGCGAGACGGAGCCCGCACCCGAGGGGTCGGCGAGACGGAGCACGAACCCAAGAGGTCGGGCAAGATGGAGCCCGCACCCAAAGGGTCGGGCGAGACGGAGCACGAACCCAACGGTTGGGCAAGATGGAGCACGAACCCAAGGGGTCGGGAGAGACGGAGGCCGCACCCAAAGGGTCAGACGAGACGGAGCCCGCGGCCTTGGGCGAGACCCCTACGGCCTCGAGGTCGGGCGAGATGGAGCCCGCGGCCTTGGGATCGGGCGAGACGGAGCCCGCGGACCTTAGGCGATCGGAGGCCGCACCCAAGGGTCAGGCGACGGAGCCAAGGGCTTGGGTGAGACCCCAAGAGACGGAGGTCGGGCCAGATGGAGCCTGCGGCCTCGAGGTCGGGCGAGACGGAGCCCGCGGCCTCGAGGTCAGGCGAGACGGAGCCCGCACCCAAGGGGTCAGGCGAGACCCCCGCGGCCTTGAGGTCGGGTGAGTCAGAGCCCGCGGCCTTGGGGTCGGTGAGACATTTTAATACGTCTTGCTTCATCCGGGGAAGTTAGCGTGGGCGTTAATTTCCTTGCTTTGGGTATCCCTAATATCGATACCGACATATACCTTTATGTTAATGCAGTTTTCTTAGTTACTCCTACAGTTTTTTAGAACATGGAGGCCTGAGCATTATCTGTTTCTGTGTAGTCCTGAATGGAACCAGGGAACATGGAGGCATCTTGTGATGATAAACGCCATGTTTGATTGGTTTATAAGCAGTATTTTTTCAGCCAATGAACAGTATTTTTCTCTCACAACAAATCAACCAACAGTACTTTTAGTCATGGCTTATCAGCCAAGCGAACAGAGACAAAAGCCAAATAATTATATGCATAATTAGTACCACCGAACATATACTAATACATTCTATTATGTGAACTGTACTTTTCACTTACTACACAATTTATGCATTGAAATTTGTCATTTGAGATTAGAAGTATTTTTCTTGTTGATGCCGCTGTTAAGATAGAAGTCAAATGCTACCAACGTCAAGTCGTCAACTGAATGTGGCTGCTGGGGTACTTCTGCATGTTCTACTGTTGGGCAGTCTTCCATTCCAAGGAAACTCTGATCAGCATCCTTGACTTTATTTAGAACTACTTTTCAAGCCATAAAATAATATTTTTCTCTCACAATATTTCAGCATAAGCCAAATTTCAACATAAGCGAACAGGGTTGTCTGAAACTGACCTACTACGTTAAGTTGCTCACCGAATTCTGGTTCCTTGCATGCCAACAAACCCAGTAATGGTGCAATATAAATTGTTCTGTATCCGCACTATGTATATGTTCTGAAAACAAAAGTTATTGTGTATAAATCACTAATATATAAATATTATGTTAGTCCTAATATTTTAATTTCCACTTATACCAGTGATACAAATTAATAGATCATGTGTCGCTCTCATTATTGGCATCAACGTCATTTTGAAAATCCTTCTTATTGAAGCAACAAATTGAATGAACATAGTTTTTTCACCCGTGGCAACGCACGGCATTGGCGAGTGAACATAAACCGAAGATTAATTACCTGATCTCTGAAGTAGCACAAGTAAGAAGAGAACATTTGCACTCACTAATACAGGGTTATTTTGAAGGAATCCCTGGACAAGATCGATCAGTTGCTTCTGACCTAATGTGAAGTTGTCATGTCTCAACAGCAAACTCTTCTAATGTCTAGCTGCTCTTGATTGTGCCCCAACTCACTTGAAAAGTTGAAATAGATTAGGGTATAAGTATACTGTTGGCTACGACTCAGTAATTGGAGTTTATTTTTTATATAAAGAAGGGAGAATCCAGTAGTAGCTAGAGACGCCACCGCGCGGCGGAACGCGTATAGACCGACGTGTGCCACCAAAGAAGTCCTAAGGGCGTGTTTAGTTCCGAAAATTTTTGAACTTTTGCCAACGCGTTTGATAGAAAATTGTCGACGTGGACTATTTAGGTTTAAAAGCCACCAAAGAAGTCCTAACAATTAATCTTTCCAATGTCAATCGGGCGACAAATTTTGCAAAAACTAACAATAATCGGTCAATCGGTCAAACGGGTAGACCTAGTATTTGTGGTCACTGGTCTAGCGCTTAGGTAGGCCATTAGTTAAAGCTGGCCTCATCAATCCATTGTTTGGCTGGCGGGAATACGAGGACCGGGAACACAGGGCACCATCGTCGATTCCATCATGCATCGACGTCGACGTGCCCATATCTGGCACTGGCGCGGCATCGGCACGCACCTCCATCCCAATCTGCATGGTCGACGTGCCCATATCTGTTGGCTGATTTGTTCACGCTTGCGTGCCCATGATCTGATTTGTTCAGCGAGCATCTTTCTCCCCTGCCAACCGGACACGACCGCGGCACTGGAGGCGGGATCAGGATCACGTTCCATACCAGCCGCAAATCCACCACTTTCTTCCCGTCTCGGGCCGCCCTGGGCCATCGGTGTTTTAGGACCTGCACTGGTTTCCGCGGGATCAGGAAATCAGTCAATGTTCGCGCCTTAGATACTTGAAAATCGACGGGCTAAATAAGCCACCATTTTGTTCGCGGGTATTGTGAAATAAATTTTAACACAAGGTCTTTATTTCTTATAAATTTTTTATAAATTGACGGTGTTTAACAAAATTAGTCACTTATTTTATTTTTTAACTTATAAATAGATGACTTATTTGGAACGACTTTACTTTCCTCACGAACAAGGCTTTTGCAGCTAGTTTTGATCCTCGGGGACCGGGCTGTTAAAGCGAAAGTTAAATCTGCTCGAGAGAGCACGCAGCAGGAAACAAAACAAACCCTGCTGCTGCTCGTGGGCGCGCCAGTGTCCGTCCGCGTCCTAACTCCTAGGAGGCGGTGCGTGACTGTTGCTTTGCTTGCCTTGCCGGTGTGCGTGCCAAACGAACGAAACGAGCGGGCACTACCAACAGTGGTGGTGGCCACTGGCGGAAAGAAAAGAATTATCCTCGGCAGCGCGAGGCACCGCATTTGCTCTTGGAAGCTACCGCGGGCGGGCCGCCTCCTCCAACTCCATCCCCTCACCGGCTCACCGTCATGCGCCCGTGTCCGTCCGTGTGCACTGGCCACCGAATATGCGGAGCGGAACAGGCGTCGTCCCTTCGTTGAATCGTTGCATAGCTGCATTTCCTTCCCGCCGTGCCCATGCCGAATCCTTGCCCAGTGGAGTGGCTCCAGTCCGGCGTCCTTCCAGCCAGGCAGACAGCGTTCCACGTCGTGCCAGGTGCGGAGCGCATCATGCGCATGGCGATGTTGCATTGCGTGTGTGTTTTCCTGCTCGAATCATGACAAGGACACAAGGTTACTGCATTTCGGGCCCATGCCCGTGCCGCCCGGCTAACCGGCGTTGGCCCTAGTCAAAAACAACCTTGGCTGGCTCGACGCGCGGAGCGTTCACACCTCCATCTCCGAGTGTTGGGGACCCCACAGGTCAACCATCCCTGACCTCTCGCCGAGTCACCGTCGACCGTCGACCGTCGTCCTGCTGCAAGGTAAAATTGCCTCGCCGCCGCCGGGTTTCACCGGCAGATGGGGGGCCACGGAAAATATCTCCCCTACTAGACAGACTTCTGTAGGGTAGTACTGCTAGTGCGCTGTGCTGAAAGAAAGACAAGTTCCAAAACGTGGGGGCACCGGAATCCATTCCGCCGCCGGACCCCACCCACATCATCACGAGACCGGAGAGACCTGGCACAGCCGGGACCCGAACCGCAGGCGCATCCGCGCGGTGTGCAGTGCAATCCATGGGGAACGCCGGTCGGACACCGGGTACGCCCGCCCCCACGCCGATGCGTTTTTGGTTTTTTTTCCCATCATTTAAAAACCAGCTGAGCTGACGCCCCTGGCCCTCTGCCCTCCAGCTCACTGCCAGTGCCACTGTCCGCTCATCACTCCAACCCCCCCACCACACACACACACCTCGCCGCAGCCTCTCAATACTGTGATGTGAGCCCGCAGCTGTGCCACTGCCACCCTTCCTCCCCTGTCCCCAGCCATAAAAACTCCCGCGGATCGCCTCGTCGCCGCCACCCACGGCCACGCCACCCCACTCACTCCTCTTCCGCCCTTCTCCCGCCCGCGTACACATTGCCCAGCAAGCTGATGGAGATGAACAAGTCCCGGTGGTGTCGCGCCACCCTGCTGCTGCTGCTGTCCCTGGCTCTCCGCGGCGCGGCGTACCTGCAGGAGCGAAAGAACTACATCGTGCACCTCCGGCCGCGGGAAGCCGCCGACGGCTCCGTCGAGGAGTGGCACCGCTCGTTCCTATCGCAGGCGGCGGCGGCGGCGGCGGCGGCCAGGCTGGACTCCGCGGCCGACGGCGGCGGCGACGACGGCCCGCGGATCATATACTCCTACAGCGACGTCTTCACGGGCTTCGCCGCGCGGCTCACGGACGAGGAGGCGGAGGCGCTGAGGGCCACAGACGGGTGCGCGCGGCTGTACCCGGAGGTATTCCTGCCGCTCGCCACCACCCGCTCGCCGGGCTTCCTCGGCCTCCACCTCGGGAACGAGGGCTTCTGGAGCCGCTCCGGGTTCGGGCGCGGGGTGGTGATTGGGATCCTCGACACGGGGATCCTGCCCAGCCACCCGTCCTTCGGCGACGACGGGCTCCAGCCGCCGCCCAAGGGGTGGAAGGGGACCTGCGAGTTCAAGAACATCGCGGGGGGAGGATGCAACAACAAGATCATCGGGGCGCGCGCGTTCGGGAGCGCGGCGGTGAACTCGACGGCGCCGCCCGTCGACGACGCGGGCCACGGCACGCACACGGCCAGCACGGCCGCGGGCAACTTCGTCGAGAACGCCAACATCAGGGGCAACGCGGACGGCACGGCGTCCGGGATGGCGCCGCACGCGCACCTCTCCATCTACAAGGTGTGCACGCGCAGCCGCTGCTCCATCATGGACATCATCGCGGGGCTGGACGCCGCCGTCAAGGACGGCGTCGACGTGCTATCCTTCTCCATCGGCGCCTACTCGGGCACGCAGTTCAACTACGACCCCATCGCCATCGCCGCGTTCAAGGCCATGGAGCGCGGCATCTTCGTCAGCTGCGCCGCGGGCAACGCGGGGCCGGAGCCCGGAACGGTCGGCAACGGCGCGCCGTGGATGCTCACCGTCGCCGCGGGCACCATGGACCGCGCGATACAGACCAATGTCAGGCTCGGCAACGGCGAGGAGTTCCACGGCGAGTCCCTGTTCCAGCCCAGGAACAACTCCGCCGCGGACCCGCTCCCGCTGGTGTACCCCGGCGCGGACGGCTTCGACGCGAGTCGCGACTGCAGCGTGCTGCGCGGCGCCGAGGTGACCGGCAAGGTGGTGCTCTGCGAGAGCAGGGGCCTGAGCGGCCGCATCGAGGCGGGGCAGACCGTGGCGGCGTACGGCGGCGTGGGCATGATCGTGATGAACAAGGCGGCGGAGGGGTACACCACCTTCGCCGACGCGCACGTCCTCCCGGCGTCGCACGTCAGCTACGAGGCCGGGGCCAAGATCATGGCCTACCTCAACTCCACGGCCAACGGGACGGCGAGTATCGACTTCAAGGGGACGATCATCGGCTCGTACCCGTCGCCGGCGGTCACCTTCTTCTCGTCCCGTGGGCCGAGCAAGGCGAGCCCGGGCATCCTGAAGCCGGACATCACGGGCCCCGGCATGAACATTCTCGCGGCGTGGGCGCCGAGCGACTCGCACACGGAGTTCTCCGACGGCGGGGCCGACCTCTCCTTCTTCGTCGAGTCCGGCACGTCCATGTCGACGCCGCACCTGAGCGGCATCGCGGCGCTCCTCAAGAGCCTCCACCCAGACTGGTCACCGGCGGCGATCAAGTCGGCGATCATGACGACGTCCGACGCGGTGGACCGCACGGGCCTGCCCATCAAGGACGAGCAGTACCGGCACGCCACCTTCTACGCCATGGGCGCGGGCTACGTGAACCCGGCGCTGGCCTTCGACCCCGGCCTGGTCTACGACCTCCACGCCGACGACTACATCCCCTACCTCTGCGGGCTGGGGCTCGGCGACGACGGCGTCACGGAGATCGCCCACCGCCCCGTCACCTGCGGCGGTCTCAGGGCCATCACCGAAGCGGAGCTCAACTACCCGTCCCTCGTCGCCAACCTGCTGTCCCAGCCCATCACGGTGAACCGCACGGTGACCAACGTGGGCAAGGCGAGCTCCGTGTACACCGCCGTGGTGGACATGCCCAAGGACGTGTCGGTTACCGTGCAGCCGCCGATGCTCCGGTTCACGGAGCTGAAAGAGAAGCAGAGCTTTACGGTGACGGTGCGGTGGGCGGGGCAGCCCAACGTCGCCGGCGCCGAGGGCAACCTCAAGTGGGTCTCCGACGATTACATCGTGAGGAGCCCCCTTGTGATTCCACCCAAGGGAGAGTAGCGCGCGAGCAGCAGCAATGCTCTTTGTGTTGCTCGTGTTCAGTTCAGAACGCTAATTTTGCAACCATGGTACAGAGTATGTATGTATAGCGTCTCTAGACTACGGCACTTGGATGGCATGTTTCTATGTATAGGCTACGGAACTGGGGACTGGAGTTTTTTTTGTCGCTCGACGTGTGCTATCTCAGCTGCGATTTTGTTCTGTAAATAGCGGAGATCAATAAAGCTGTGTTCTTGGGATATCACAATGCGTTTTCTCAGCTCTGCAAGATGCTGCCGTTCCATTTCTGAAACTCCCGAGAATGTATGTAGCCAAGATCTGGTGAGGATATGATCACATGGTCGGTCTTCGATCATGCCAACAAAATAGGACATGATCGACCACGTGTTCTTCAGCAACAGCAGATATACTTCACCGCTACTACACTTCGCGGAAAGCGATGCGGCGATGATGCAGTTCTACTGTAACACGGTTGATCTTTTTCTGTTGCTTACTAACGAAGAAGTGCTGTTGTTCAGTAAAGTACAAAGATCATGCTACTTATTGCCACCTTTTGAGATGTGATTCAGTGATTGGATTTCTCGATTCCAGCCTCTGAATTGTTGCGCTTTGCTCGGCCGCTCCGTTTCAGAATTCAGAAAAACGCGGTCATCCCTACTCAAAAGTGACCACATGACGGATCATGTAAAAAATTCAGAGCTTCTAGCTGACCTAACGACATGTCTGGTGCCAACGAACATGAGTTGCTGATTGCCTTTTCCAAAGATCACCAGCCTGCTAGCTTGTTTGTTTCGGTTAGAGTTTATCAGTCAGTTAACAATGTTTTTCTCTCACAATAAACCAGCACTAGCCGTGCTTATTAGTTTAGAAACCAACTAGCGAACAGGCTCCACAGCTGCTGTACTGTGCCAAAAGCGATGACGACGCAGTGCCCAAAGGTACGTAATTTGGTGCATTGCTTGCCGAAGATGAAGTGCTCTCTGTTAAGAATATCCAATAGGATCACATGACCGCAATATTTGGTTTATTGATATATCTGGTTGATTGATATCTCCTGAAGATTGATTGTGCGCTCAGGCTTGGATTGCGGGTGAAGGCAAGTATCACGGCTTGGGTTAGATAGGATAGGTATCTGCTGATTGATGTAATCTTGTGATATAATCTAGAGTTACTAAAGTAGTTAACTTTTTCTTATTATACAAGTTGTACCGCCACGCCAGGGGCTCTTTCTGGCTATATTAACACAAAATCGTGAGCCTGAGAGGGCATCACGTTCCAACCATTTTCAAATGGTAATCAGAGCTAGGTTAGTCCACAATATTCTCGATGGCTTCCTCTTCCGCGCTTCAACAATCGTTCTCTCTGATCGGTTGTCCCGTCACCGAGAAGCTGGGCAAAGGGAATTTCCCCTATGGAGCACCCAGGTGCTGTCTGCTCTTCGCGGTGTGCAGATAGCGCACTATCTCGAGCCCGATATTGTGGTGCCGGCGAAGCAGATCCCCAAGGCGACCGACAAGCCGACTGAGCTCATCCCCAACCCTGAGTATGAAACTTGGGTTGCGAAGGACCAGCAGATCGTTAACTATCTGCTCTCCAATATCTCCAAGGAGATCCAGGTGCAAGTCTCCAATTGCGCCACATCGGCCGAGATCTGGAAAGTGATCTCAGAGATGACGGCTTCCCAATCTCGGGGCCGTATCATCAACACGCGCATGGCGTTGGCCACAGCGCAGAAGGGCTCGTCAACAATCGCCGACTACTTCAACAAGATGAAATCTCTTGCTGACGACATGGCGGCCACTGCCAAACGTCTTAAAGATGAAGAGATCATCTCCTATGTACTAGCCGAACTTGACCTGGATTTTAATCCGATTGTCTCGGTTGTCGCGGCGCGCACCGAGCCGCTATCTTTGGGCGAGCTCTACACCCAGCTAGTGAGCTAGGAACAGCGGATGGATCTCCTGCATGGTGGATCTGGTTCATCTGCTAACACGGCTACACGTGGAGGCCGTGGTGGTTTCAACCGCGGCGGTGGTGGCCGAGGACGCGGGCGCGGCCGCAACCGTGGCAACAACAACAACAGTGGGCGCCCCCGACAGAACTACAACGGCGATAAACCCATCTGCCAGCTCTGCGGCAAGGAGGGCCACACTGGACTCCGTTGCTTCAAGCGTTTTGACGCTTCCTTCACCGGCCCACCAAAGCAATCCCGATCTGCCTCCTCTGCGTCATATGGGATCGACACCAACCAGTACACCGACACTGGTGCTACCGACCACATCACGGGAGAGCTGGAGAAGCTCACCGTGAGGGACAAGTACCATGGAAACGACAAGGTTCATGCTACTAATGGCGCAGGTATGAGAATCAATCAAATTGGTCGAAGTTTTGTTCGTACCCCAAATCAAAATCTCATCCTAAACAATGTTCTTTATGTTCCTGAAGCTAACAAAAGCCTTGCATCTGTTCATCGTCTTACATCCGATAACCATGCTTTTATTGAATATCATCCCAACTATTTTTTGATTAAGGACCAGACGACCAAGAAAACCATCCTTAGAGGGGAATGTGAAGGCGGCCTTTACCCGTTGAAGTTTAGGCCGTCATCGAATAAAGGGGTGTTTGGTGCTGTCAAGTTTCCTTCGTCGAGGTGGCATAGTCGTCTCGGCCAATCTTCTTTTGTAGTCGTTCAGCAAGTCCTTAGCAAAAATAGTATTCCCTTTGTTGCCGATTTGAATAAAGAAATTGTTTGCGATGCTTGCCAAAAGGGCAAAAGTCATCAGCTACCCTATCCTAGATCCACGAGTATCTCATTGAGTCCCTTAGAACTTGTGTTTTCTGATGTATGGGGTCCTACGCCCACTTCTGTTGGCAAAAACAGTTATTACGTTAGCTTCATTGATGATTTCAGCAAGTTTACATGGATTTATTTGCTTCGTCATAAATCTAAAGTTTTTCAAAAATTTCATGAATTCCAAACTATGGTTGAACGCTAATTTGATAGAAAAATTCTCGCTATGCAAACTGACTGGGGAGGGGAATATCAAAAGCTGAATGCATTCTTTCAGCGCATTGGCATCTCGCATCATGTCTCATGTCCTTATGCACATCAACAAAATGGCTCCGCTGAACACAAACATCGCCATATTGTTGAAGTAGGTCTCTCGCTTTTAGCCCATGCTTCTATGCCCTTAAAATTTTGGGATGAAGCTTTCATCACTGCCACCTATCTTATTAATCGTCTCCCTAGTAAAATTATCAATAACCAAACTCCTCTTGAACGCCTGTTTCATCAAACACCAGACTACTCTCTTCGTACTTTTGGCTGCGCATGCTGGCCAAATCTACAGCCTTATAACGCTCGCAAGTTGCAATTTCGCTCCAAACGCTGTGTCTTCCTAGGATACAGTAACATACACAAGGGGTTCAAGTGTCTGGATGTTAATGAAGGGCGTGTCTATATTTCCCGAGACGTGGTCTTCGATGAACACGTCTTCCCCTTCGCCGAACTCCACCCAAACGCCGGTGCTCGATTACGATATGAAATTCTCCTCCTTCCTCCAACTTTGACAAATCCTTCACATGATTTTGGGGACGACAATTCTTTAGATCATTTTGATAATGATTCCCTGCATACTAACCCTATGTCTAAGTGTGCAGCACATGAAAAAAATTCTGCGTCAAACGAACTAAATCTGGCTGGAAACAGGCATCATTTCATGCTCCCCGAGCAATTTCCCGTTTTGGCAGGAATAGGCGGCGATCCCCAGGCTGATTCACCTGCACCTTCCACTGTGGAGCCGACAGGATCGGTCTTGGATCCGGTGGCGTCAGCTCCTGCACTCGTGCCGAACGCGTCAGCTCCACCCTTCGCGTGCGCCACCTATCTCGAACTCGCCTCGCCTGGCTCCACGGACGGGGGGATAGGATATTTTGACCGGTGGTGGAGAATCTCCCTTGGGTCCGCCGCTCGCCGGATCTTCTGCGCCAGCCACAAATCAACCCATCGGATCTTCGCTCGCCGGATCTTCTGCGCCAGCCACAGATCAACCCACCGGATCTTCTACATCGCCTGCAGCACCGACTCTCCAACGACCCACCACACATCTACAACAAGGTATACGTAAACCAAAAATTTACACTGATGGAACTATTCGATATGGTCAGTTAGCAACGACCACTGAAGGTCCTATTGATTTGCAACATGCCTTAGTCGATAATAATTGGAAGCGTGCTATGGATGTTGAATTTGATGCATTGATCAGGAATAAAACTTGGCATCTAGTTTCACCTCAAAAAGGTAAAAATGTGATAGATTGCAAGTGGGTCTATAAAATTAAAAGAAGATCAGATGGAAAAATTGACAGATATAAGGCACGCCTAGTAGCAAAGGGGTTCAAACAACGATATGGCATTGATTATAAGGATACTTTTAGTCTTGTTGTGAAAGCAGCCACAATTCGTCTTGTGCTCTCTCTAACTATGTCTAAGGATTGGTGTTTGAGGCAACTCGATGTTCAGAACGCTTTCTTGCATGGTTTCCTTGAAGAAGAGGTATACATGAAACAGCCGCCAGGTTATGAAGATAAGACCAAACCACATCACTTATGCAAACTTGATAGATCCCTGTATGGTTTAAAACAAGCACCACGGGCCTGGTATTCTAGGTTGTGTGGTAAACTTCAGAGTCTAGGCTTTGTTCCCTCCAAAGCTAACACGTCATTATTCTTTTATCGGAAAGGAAATCATGTCATCTTTATGCTTGTATATGTTGATGATATAATTGTGGCCAGTTCATCACAAGAAGCAGTGGATGCTCTTCTCCGAGATTTAGAGAAGGACTTTGCAATCAAAGATCTCGGAAACCTTCACTATTTTCGTGGCATACAGGTTCAAAAAAATAAAGGTGAATTGCTTTTGACACAGGAACGGTATGCTTCTGATATCCTCAAGAGAGTTAATATGCAGCTGTGTAAACCCGTCAAAACACCCCTTAATAC